AAAAAGAAAAAAAAAAAAAAAAAAAAAAAAAAAAAAAAGTCTTTCAGCCGCGCGCCCGGGACGCTACTGAGATATATATATTATAAATAGATCTGATGGCACTTGATATATATACAATTCAACAAATACCATCCCTTTATTATCCTTCCATTTACAACTATATAAATTTTCTTTCTTTTCTGCAAATTCATACACTTAAAGGAAATGGCATGTGAACAAAATCGAGATCTTGAATCGGTTCATGTTTATGCCGATGAGCAAGAACAATTGGAACGAGCATCGACACAAAACACATATTTAGTGCAGATGTTCGTTATGAGTTATTGCTCATGATATCAATAAAAACAGGAATTATTTCAAGATTTTGATTTTGTTCGACTTCCGTTTCTTTTAAGTGTATGAATTCGCACAAAATAAAAACGAGTTATATGGTTGAAAATATTAGCGTATATATTACATATATTACGTATACTATTATTATTCTTATTTATTATAGTTACCTTATATAATAGGTTACCTTGTGTAGTAGGTTAGGGTTTCCTACATGTAACCATATATATGATTAATATACGTAAGAGATATCATTCTCTCTTTTCTCCAAATCTATTTCTCCTATATGGTATCAGATACTAGGTTAACCTAGCCTTCACCACCCCTTCTTCTCCATAGCCGTCGTCCCCCATTCTTCTCCATGGCCGTCACCACCCCTTCTTCTCCCTCCAACGCCCCTCTCAATCCTTTTCACCTTGCTCATGCCATCTCTAATATCAAATCTCTTATCCCCGTTACTCTAGATCTGAAAAATCCTAATTATAAAAAATGGAGCCACTTTTTCACAATTACCGTCGGTCGTTTCTGCCTCTCCGATCTTCTACATGGAAAACCCCGACCGGATTCGATTTCCGCCGATGAATGGCAGCGCGCCGACTATCTCCTCCAATCTTGGATCTACGGCACCATCTGCGACGATCTATCGAGCATGGTTCTCTCAAAAACCTCCACCGCCAGTGATCTATGGACCGCCATCTCTTCTCTCCTCACCGATAACAAAGATTATCTAGCCATTCAACTTGAAGAAAAATTCAAGTCCCTCAAGAAAGGCACTCTCTCCATTCACGATTATTGCCAAATAATCAAAACCACGGCGGACAACTTGGCGGATGTCGGAAACCCAATCCCCGACAAACAACTTGTCCTACAAACCCTACATGGCCTTCCAAAAAATTACGGGACCGTCGCCAACCTCATCTCCTTTCAGAATCCTCTTCCCACCTTTCTACAGACTCGATCGGTTCTTCAGATGGAAGAAACAAGAATTGCTGAACCGGAGCAGACCGCTGTTGTTTTCTACGCCTCCAACGCGAACTGTCCATCCAACAGTTGCAACGGTTCCTGCAACAGTTCCCGCGGTGGTAGTTCTTCGCGCTATCAGCGCGGGAGTGGCTGATCCAACCATCGCGGAGGTCGCTGCACTAACCGTCACCCCATGCAGCACTACGGCTACCATAGTGCTCATGGCGCATCTCAACTCTAGCGCGCACCTTACCGACAACCGTCAATTCTGGGATCCGCTCCAAATACATCGGGCCACCCATCCACTCCAGCGGCTCAAGCCTACTTTACTGGACCACCTGAACCCTACACCGGCCACTCGGCTCCTACTCAGGTTCATCCACAGCAGCAGCCATGCCACCACTCTAACAGTTCCATCAACAGTTGCAACAGTGCCAATGTGGTGGATCTCGCAAACCGTTTGAATACGGTGACACTTCAGCAGCCTACCGAGTCACAATGGTTCATGGACAACGGGGCGACCTCTATGGCACCACACTCAGGTAATTTCAATTTTGTTTTTAATCCTGGCTGTAATTTCCCCTAACATGTCGTCGTCGGTAATGGTTCCACCCTCCCCATAACCCACATAGGCCACACAATTCTTCCCACCACTCCCTTCCGGCTCACAAATGTCTATGTCACACCCAATATCGTCAAACACCTTATCTCTGTTCAAAAGTTCACCCGCGATAACTGATGTTCGGTTGAATTTGACCCGTTTGGTTTTTCTGTGAAGGATCTTCAGAGTCGAGTCGAGATTTTCAGGTGCAATAGCTCAGGTGACCTATATCCATTTGGCGTCCCTCCCCCCACCTCACCTCCCGCTTCTTTCCTCACTGTCGCAACACCTTTGTCTCGCACTCTTTGGCATCGGCGTCTAGGCCATCCCGGCAAACACGTCATGTCCCGTTTATTTTCTAGCAGTTTTCTTTTCCATAATAAAGACCCTAGGGAGTCTCTTTGTAATGCCTATCAATTAGGCAAACATTTTCGTCTACCATTTGTTTCTCAAAAATCTACTACTGTTGCTCCATTTCAAATTATTTATGCTGATTTATGGACTTCTCCTGTTTCTAGTCTTATGGGTTTCAAATATTATCTTGTGTTAGTTGATGATTTTACCCATTATTTATGGACTTTTCCTCTTCGAAATAAATCTGACGTTTTTACAACCTTTGTCAATTTTCATACACTTCTCAAAACTTAATTCCAACATCCCCTGAAAGCCTTACAAAGTGATAATGGTAGTGAAATAAAAAATGCGGATTTTCAAAACTACTTCACTAAACACGGCATCCTAAATCGTTTTTCGTGTCCCCACACCTCCCCTCAAAATGGACACGCAGAACGAATGATCCGGACTATAACTAACATGATTCGATCCCTCATCTTTCAAGCTCATCTTCCTCCTACTTATTGGATCGAAGCCCTTCATATGGCCACACACCTACTCAATATCTTACCTACCAAAACCCCACAAAATCGGACTCCTCGCGAAGCTCTTTACCTCATCAAACCTACATACTCTCATCTTCGAGTATTCGGCCGTCTCTGTTATCCGAACCTCACCGGCACCACACCACATAAACTCGCCCCCAGTTCTACTCCTTGTGTCTATCTCGGTCACCCTTCCTCTCACAAAGGCTATCCTTGCCTTGATAGATCCACTGGCCAAATCATAATTTCTCGTCATGTTACCTTCGACGAAACTCACTTTCCTTTTGCTGAGTCCACTCCCCCAAAAAACACACTTCCTACCTCTGCCTTGGACCAAAACACACCCTCCCTGTTCCTCCTCCCTCAAACTTCGTCTAACTGTTGCAACAGTTCCTCCAACTGTTCCAACAGTGAACCACCCTGTTCCAACAGTTCGTCCGACAGTCTTATAACACAGCCAACACCTGTTTCTCCTGCAGCACCACCTCTCGACCACGACCAGCTCACAACCCCTTCTCCTACTTCCACATCTCCTTCTCCTACTCCCACACCTCCCCCACCTCCCCCTGCTCACCCTATGGTGACTCGCAGTAAAGTGGGCATCCACAAACCCAAAGTCCCTTTCTCTCTCGTTGCGTCCTCTACCTATTCCATTCCCACCAACTACCGCCAAGCTCTTCTTGACCAAAATTGGCGAAACGCCATGATTAAGGAATATACTGCTTTAATTAAAAACAATACTTGGAAGGTTGTGCCCCGCCCCCCGTTCACTAATGTTATTTCTGGTAAGTGGATATACAAACAGAAACTCAAGTCCGATGGCTCCCTTGAGCGATACAAAGCACGGTGGGTTGTTCGTGGGTTTCACCAGCGGACAGGCATCGATTTTGACGAGACTTTTAGCCCAGTTGTCAAACCAGCCACTGCTCGAACAGTTCTCAGTATTGCTCTATCGCGATCATGGCCAATCCACCAGCTTGATGTGAAAAATGCCTTCTTACATGGCAATCTCTCTGAAACTGTCTACTGCAAACAACCTCCCGGATTCGTCGACCCATCTCGCCTCACTCACGTGTGTCGTCTCAAGAAAGCACTCTACGGTCTCAAGCAGGCACTACGTGCTTGGTACAAGCATTTTGCATCTCACATTACTACCTTGGGGTTCAGAAAATGCAACAGTTCACGCGACTGTCGCAACACTTCACTCTTTGTGTACTATCGCAACAGTTCACGCGACTGTCGCAACAGTTCACGCGACTGTCGCAACAGTTCACGCGCCTACCTTCTGCTGTATGTCGATGACATTGTACTTACGGCCTCCACACCTGAATTGCTCCGCTCTATCATCGCTGCCCTTAATCAAGAGTTCGCAATGAAGGATCTTGGCAATCTTCACTACTTTCTCGGCATCTCAGTTACTCGCTCGTCGAATGGGCTATTTCTCTCTCAACGCAAGTACGCCGACGAGATACTAGAGCGTGCACACATGGCTTCCTGCAACCCTTGTCTTACGCCGGCTGACACAAAGAGCAAGTTGTCTTCGACCACTGGACCCCCCGTTGCTGACCCTACTCTTTATCGCAGCATTGCCGGTGCATTGCAATACCTCACGTTTACTCGTCCCGACATCTGCTATGTTGTGCAACAAATATGTCTATTCATGCATGATCCGAGGGAACCTCATATGGCTGCTCTCAAGCGTATCCTTCGCTACATTTGTGGCACTCTTGATCACGGCCTTCAGCTCTCCCCCAATCTGGACCTCTCCCTTATCGCTTACTCCGACGCCGATTGGGGTGGCTGCCCTGACACTCGTCGTTCGACATCGAGCTATTGTGTTTTCCTCGGCAACAACCTCATCTGTTGGTCCTCCAAACGACAGGTCACTACTTCTGGATCGAGTGCGGAGGACGAATATCGAGGTGTCGCAAATGCCGTCGCCGAAACGACTTGGTTACGCAACCTACTTTCTGAGTTGCTCTGCCCACTTTCGAAAGCCACTATTGTCTACTGTGACAACGTCAGTGCCGTCTACCTATCCAGCAATCCTATTCAACACTCTCGTACGAAACATGTGTAGATCGATATCCACTTTGTCCGAGACAAAGTTGCTTTGGGACACATTCGAGTTCTTCACGTCCCATCCGCCTACCAGTTTGCCGATATCTTCACGAAAGGACTCCCTACTCAACTGTTCCAACAGTTTGTCTCCAGTCTCAACGTCCTCTACTTTCCCGTTTCGACTGCCGAGGTGTATTAGCGTATATATTATATATATTACGTATACTATTATTATTCTTATTTATTATAGTTACCTTGCATAATAGGTTACCTTGTGTAGTAGGTTAGGGTTTCCTACATGTAACTATATATATGATTAATATACGTAAGAGATATCATTCTCTCTTTTTCCAAATCAATTTCTCCTATAGAAAATGAAAAGACGAAGAGAGGGTACTCGTTGAATTGTATGTTCACTAGACACTTGTATATACTAAGCGCCAATGTGCCGCTGTATCTATTTATAATTTATGATTTCTCATCGTTGTGTAATTTTTTTTTCACCTCATAAAATTAATATGAAATACAATTGAAATATATATTTTGCATATTATTTTATAGTAATATATAATAAATGCAGTTGGATTTATGAGTATTGTGCATCTTATCTTACGATAATATATTTTCGAAAATCTTAGTTACTAAATTTTGTAAAAAAATTCATCAAAAAATGCAATTTTTTATTATTATTATTATTATTATTATTATTATTATTATTATTATTATTATTATTATTATTATTATTATTATTATTATTATTATTATTATTATTATTATTATTATTATTATTATTAACAGGGATATACACCGTTGCGTAAATTCATCCAACAACCTACTCCAACGCTCGGGTCTTTCGATACCGTGGATTCAACAAAATTGCTTGTAAGTAATTAGTAGTAAAATAATAAAAAATTGTGAGAATTAGTATGCATGACTAGTACATCAAAATTAACTAAGTGATTAGTAATTATAAGTAACATTAAGAATATATACACACAGAAAAAAATCTTAGAAAAATATATACTAATAAGATTCTTTTTTTCTTTCCTAGATTCCAAGAATCTGGGATCAATAAGATGGTAATAAGGGAGCACCCATACCAGCAGTCCCTTTATCTTGGTGCCCACCTCAACAATCACAACCTATGAACAAGGAGGTATATATATATATATATATATATATATATATATATATATGGGTGAAAAGCATTAAACCACCTGAACTTTTTAAGTTTTTGCGGATCACCACATGAACAATGTTTTTTTGCACGAGTTCATCTGTACTCAATTAATTGTGCCACTTTGCCCCCTTTTGCCCGTTTCCAGGTCAAAATGACCGGTTATGAACCCATGTGCACTGCACGTGCGAAATCCAAGGCTATTTTTGTCTTTTCCATTTAAAAATCCCTAATTCCTTTAATTTTCTCTCCGTTTCTCTCTTATCTCCATTATTTTCCCTCTTCAGTTAGCTAGAAATGGTGTTATTTTCTTTATGTGAAGATGGGCGATTGTTAAGGATGAAGCAGTCGCTAGAAAAATGGTGAAGTTCATTGAAGTCAGCACAATCGTTGTGTCAAAAGAGGCGCAAAATAGAGCAGTCACCATTCTTGAAATCATGTCCCTTAAGTGCTGCAAAAGTGATGACCACAAACTTGAGAATTTCTTCGAATACAGCCATAATCTAATCGCCGAAAGGTGGAAGAAACCCAGAGAAGCTATCAAGAACAACAAACTCTTTCACGTCTCCAAAATTTTGAACCTGCAATTTCGCCAAAGACTACACCGAAACATATCCCGGTAATCTGTTTCTAATTGGAGAAGAAAAATAATGGAGGTAAGAGAAAAATGGGGAGAAAATTAAAGGAATTAGGGATTTTTAAATGGAAAAGGCAAAAATAGCCTTGGATTTCGCATGTGCAGCGCACATGAGTTCATAACCGGTCATGTTGACATGGAAACATGCAAAAAATGGCAAAGTGGCACAATTAATTGAGTACAGGTGAACTCATGCAAAAAAAAATTGTTCAGGAGGTGATCCGCAAAAACATAAAAAGTTCAGGTGGTTTAATGCTATTTACGCTTTTTTTTTATAGTGAAAACTTGTTTAATACTTAAAAAAAATATTTTAATTAATATTACTGTCTGGACTGCTAAATTACTGTCTCCACCAGTAATTTAAGGGTCGGAGACAGTAATTTAACTGTCTGAGACAGTAATTTTACTGCATTAATTAATTTTATCGTCTTGGCCTGCATTTTGATGTCTTCGACCGTAACATTATTGTCTCATGGAATAATATTACTGTTTGAGACATTAATATTAGTAATATTACTGTTCGGGAAAGTAAAATTCAGGATATTAGTGTTCGGGACAGTAATATTAGTGTTCGGGACAGTAATATTACTGTTTGGAACAATAATATTACTGTTTGGGACAATAATATTTCTGTTTGGGACGACTATATTAGTAATATTATTGTTTTGGTATTCAATATTATTATCTCAGACAATAATTTTGTTGTTAACATAGTAATTTAGAGAGAAAAAACAAGTTTTTAAAAAAAAAAATCAATGGCGGAATCAGGTCTGAAAAAAGTTCAGAAAATAGATTATTTTCAGAAAAAAAATATTTTTTTTCAAAAAATTATGAAAATGGGGGTTAAGGTGATATATTTGTTCAAATTCTGGGTCAATGTGTAATATTTATGAAGTTAGAGTATAATGGATGGAATGGACAAAAAATATACTATGGAGGGTATTTTAGACAAAAGACATGTGTATGAGTTTATCTAGAAAACTATTTTTTGTCTGGACCTATGTGCATTTAAGTCCTCTGTCATGGGCCTATTTGACATTGCCCTATTTTGAAATAGGGATGAATTTAAAAAAAAAATAGTTTGGAGCTGTGATTTCGTTCTAATTAAGTTTGCTACGAGGGACCCAAGCATATTAACTCCTATTAATAATCTAGTCCATTAAATAATTAAATAATTAATTAATTAATTAATTGTAGTTTATTTGATATTTAACTAGTCATCTACTTTTTGAGTTAACCTATTCTATTGCTATTCGAAATCTTAGTTTTTTGAGAAATTATTTACCGGACATCCTTAGAACAATCAACAATATACAACAATTTCTTATATAAAAAAACAAACAATATACAGCAATTCTATTAACATTGTACAGTATAAACATTATATATTTATGCAAGTTAATGTCAACTAAGTTCTATTTAACGTACCGATTACACAATTTTTATGTCAAATAATATATTATAAAAAGCCAGAAAGTGGAAAGTTAATCAACTAGCAAGAAGAAAATTTATAACTAACAAAAGTCGATAACTTTCGTAAAAGGATCGAAAAACAAAATAAAAAGTTGTCAGTATGTAAACAAAAATATGAAAACCTTATATCCAAAACTTATGATATGTCCAATAATCTAACCGTTGATCAAACCCTAATCCACAATTAACTAAGTGGCCCGAATTAGTTATTACCTGGGAGCTTGACAAGAGCAAAATGCAACTCTTGATCGATCCGAAAAGACCATAACTGAACCACATCCCCGGGTTCAAGACGATTCCTCTCGACAATGTGTCTCCATTTTCCGTTTATTACGTAATTGGACCACGTATTCTTGCCGTTACCCTTTTTCATATCCCATCTGCTCAGCTTCACTTTCTCCCGTCGCAACGAGGGCTCGATAATCGTGACGTCTTTGAACTTCATCTTGTTGTTGCGATCGCGTGTCGTGAGGAAACGAGCCTCCTCTTCCGTCAAGAATCCGTGATCGCGAACCCGTGTGAAAGGGATTGATAATCTGTTATTTCCGGGGGCCAAATCCGTTTCGAACAATCCCTTTTGGATAACCAGTTTCATCTCCGCCTCCTCTGATAAATTTTTCCCTTTCCCGATTTCTTGGATCGTCTTCTTGAATTCTTCCGGAAGCGGGGGCGGTGTCGGGGGCCCATTCCCGATGGCTTCTTTTTTCTTCTTCAGATTATCTGACGACTTCCTTTTCTTCGCCTTCTTGTCGGAATATTCTTGATCTTCTTCTTGTTCTTCTTCATCTTCGACTTTGGAATCATCGGCGGTTTCTATTACATGCTTGTTTATGATTTCTTCTCTTTTGGTTCTTGGCCGCCGGGGAGGGTTGAAGGGGAATGATGACGTGTTGGCTTTTGATTGGGTTTGCTGCTCTGCTTTGATTAAATCCTCCTGTGATTTTTGGAAGGCCACTTCAACCAAAGCGTTAAACATCTTCTTGCACAACATTTTCTTCTTAATTCTTCTCCCGCCTTATGTCAATACTTCCAATTCAAAAAGAAAACAAAAAAATATTGTGAAAGTTGATGAAGGGAAGACCGATATGGATATACACACACATATATATAGAGAGAGAGAGAGAGAGAAAGAGAGAGATGGGGTTTAAGTGGTTTCAAAGATTGTATAGGACTAGGATTTTTGTTTTATAATTCATACAATCTTTCTTGTGTCCAGATTTGGTGTGGGAATGTTTCCTATTTGAATTATACTTTCTCATTGGTGACAATTGTCTGCGTTAGTTTATTTGAATTATAATTGTTTGTGTGGATATTTGTTAGTTTATTTGAATTATAATTTCTTCTTAATTAATTCTCCCGCACCATAAAGTAATGAACGTGTTATTAATTAAGCTCAATAGGAAATAAATTGAATGAACCCCTGTTGTCGCCCCCGCTTCGATGTTGCCGCTACAATGGTGGATTATAGAAAAGATTTCACAGCTGGATTGTTCATGAATACTACAATGGTGTACTATAGAGAAGATTCGCTAGACAGGTCGGTTGTTTCGAGGTTTACGTCATAGGGTTCGCCGGAACGGAACGGGAACGGTACCCGCCGTTCCGGAATCCCTAACAAAACCGTTCTCTCCCCTTGACGCGACGGACCACCGTGACGGCCGATACGTAGCCGGGAAACGGCTTCAGAACGGCGCCGGAACGGCTCCGGAAGGTCCGACCCTTGACGGAAAAAAATTAAAAAAAAAAGAAAAAAAAACAAAAGAAAATTGGGAACGAGAACCTTGACGGAAAAAAAATTAAAAAAAAAAGAAGAAAAAAGAAAATTCGGAAGGAGATAATTTGTAAAAGAAAAGTGTAAATTATTTTTTAAATTAAAAAAAAATTAAATTAGAAGAAGAGTATAAATTATTGGGGTAATGGCAAATAGGCCCATGACAAGGGCACTTAATTAAAAGAGGGACATCCAACTTTTTTGTCTTTCAAATAAATCCAGCCCATTCAAACTTCTTTGCAAATAAGGAAAAAACTTTTATGTATACCAAAATTACCCCCAATTCATTGAAACCCAATTCAACTCCAATTTCATGATTTACACCCCAATTTAGCCAAATTTCATCAATTAACCAATTTTAACCCTGATTTCAATTTTGACTCCAATTTTAACCCTAATTCTTATCAATTCCACCCATTATGCTCTAACTTCCTTAATATTACACATTGACCCCGGATTTAAACAAATATATCACATTAACCCCCAATTTTTTTTTCAGAAAATATTTTTTTTTTCTGAAACGTTTTTTTCCGGCCAGATTCCGGCGTTGACCGCCGGAGACCGCCGGTCTCCGGCGTTGACTTCTTCTTTTTTTTTTATAATTTTGTTTTTTCTTAAATTTTTTTTTAATTAATATTACTGTCTTGGCTGCTAAATTACTGATTCCGACAGTTATTTAACTGCCGGAGACAGTAATTTAGCTGTTAATTGACTTTTTTTTTTCTTCAAAAATATTTTAATTAATATTACTGTATATGTTACTAAATTACTGTCTCCAGCAGTTATTTAACTGTTGGAGACATTGATTTAATTGTTAATTGACTTTTTTATTCTTAAAAAAAAAATTAATTAAAATTACTGTATTCGTTTGCTAAATTACTGTCTCCAGTAGTTATTTAACTGTTGGAGCCAGTAATTTAACTGTTAATTGACTTTTTTTTTCATTTTTTTTCTTAAAACAAAATATTTTAATTAATAGTACTGCCTTAGATGCTAAATTACAGTAATTTAACTGTCTTAGACAATAATATTAATAATATTACTGTTCGGAAAAATAATATTCATAATATTACTGTTCGAAAAAATGATATTCATAATATTACTGTCCCAAACAGTAATATTACTGTCTAAGACAGTAATTTAGTAGCTAAAATAGTAATATTAATTAAAATATTTTTTTCTTCTAAGAAACCAAAATTCAAAAAAAAAAAAAAAAAAAAGGTCAACGCCGGAGACCGGCGGTCAACGGTGGTTGACCGGCCGGAAAAAAATTCAGGAAAAAAAAAAGATTTCAAAAAAAAAAAAGTCAACGCCGGAGACCGGCGGTCTCCGGCGTCCAACGCCATAATCTAAAAAAAAAAAAATTAGATATGAAGAAGATCAAAAGGTCAACGGTGGTTGACCGGCCGGAAAAAATTTCAGGAAAAAAAAAAGTTTTCAAAAAAAAAAAAAGTCAACGCCGGAATCTGAAAAAAAAAAATTAATAAGGGCAAAAAAAAAATTCTAAAAACCCATAATTTCTTCCTCTCAAATTTTTCTCGTGGAACCGCTAGTGCATCCCAATTTCATCCAAAAAAATATGAAGAAGATGAATGAGGCATGTCCGGAGTAATTTGGAAATGAGATAACCACTCCAGTACAACGGTTTTTGGGGCTAACACCAGCCTTTACTTTCTATCTTTTTTTTTTTTTTGCCTTAAAACTTTCCGTCGCTGAGCTGCGTTGACTTTTTCCTTTTTTCTTTTAGTTGGTTCCATATAGATGGTTCCATACTCTGTCTCTCTCACAGAAGGGTTTGCTATATAGATGGAAAAGGAATCTGGTCTCCAAAGCTGAGAACAACAAGGAATTACGACCATAGTCCTAGTCAAACGGGTGTGTCACCGGAAAATGCAAGAGCATTCAATGCGTTTCTGAATGAGAGAAGGTTGTAACCCCTAGAATGGAGGGACAAGATCAAAAGAATGTGGGCTTAAGTGACACTTGGACTTTGTGCTTGTATTGGCCGCCTCAGATAGAGTAGGTTAAGTGGGCTGAATCAAATAATTTATTTGGACCACAAAACTAACAGTTTACGAGTTAGATGTCAAATGTACTACTTCATTATGAGGTTTAGAGTGATGAACGAAAAAAAAATAAAAATTTTATAATAAATTTAGTTTGGTCATTTTCAAGATATGATGCATTATAAATGTCATTCATGAATGTATCGTTGATTCTTAGAAAATGACCCCAATTTACTTAATATTGCACATTGACCCTAATTTTAACAAAAATAATAATATTGTTGTGGTGATATGCCAAAAAAAGTTATTAGAGGAAATTTTGATACATGGTAAGACTTTTACTTATTTGCGATTAGTATTGAATGGGTGAATTTATATGCAAAAGAGAAAAATAGCATATCCATTATTTGATTAAGTGTGTGTGTCATGTGCTTATATTCAATTTCCCCAAGATTAATAATTTAATAAAAATTCAATTATATTATTGGACCATGGAAGGTGCAATAAATAATCCCCTAGAAGACTTGTATATGGGGGAAAGTGCAAAAAATAGAATTTATGGGGATGAAATACAAATTACGCTTAAAATAACATTAATTCTTCAATTTAAAAGAATTGAAAAAGGGAAAATGAAAACCCCATACCTTGTGTAGGTATATAGATAAGGCGACGGATATATGCAAGGCCATTTTTTTATTAGTTCAAACCCACATAAAGGAGTTTATTAGTTCAAGCCCGTAAATTAATTTAATTTAATTACATCAAGACCAAACATGATGAATATACCCTTATCAATAAATAATACCCAAATTCAAACAAAATCTATTTTTAATTTGTTCAAGACCACAAAATAAAAAATAAAAAAGTAAAAAAGAAAAACAAAAAAATAGAAAAAAAATAGAAAAACCTCACAACTGCCACCACCAGACCGCTGAAAAAAAATAGAAAAACCTCCGGCGTTGACTTTTTTTTTTATATAATTTTGTTTTTTCTTAAAAAAAATATTTTAATTAATATTACTGTCTTGACTGCTAAATTACTGTCTCCGACAGTTATTTAACTGTCGGAGACAGTAATTTTACTGTTAATTGACTTTTTTTTTCTTCAAAAATATTTTAGTTAATATTACTGTATTCGTTACTAAATTACTGTCTCCAGCAGTTATTTAACTGTTGGAGACAGTAATTTAACTGTGAACTGACTTTTTTATTCTTAAAAAAAATATTTTTAATTAATATTACTGTATTCGTTGTTAAATTACTGTCTCCAGCAGTTATTTAATTGTCGGAGACAGTCATTTAACTGTTAATTGATTTTTTATTTTATTTTTTTAATTAAAAAAAATTATTTGAATTAATATTACTGCCTTGGATGCTAAATTATTGTCTCCAACAGTAAGTTAACTATCTTAGATAATAATATTATTAATATTACTGTTCGGAAAAATAATATTCATGATATTACTGTCCCAAACAGTAATATTACTGTCTGAGACAGTAATTGCCAAGACAGTAATATTAATTAAAATATTTTTTTTCTAAGAAAAAAGATTTAAAAAAAAAAAGAGTCAACGCCGGAGACCGGCGGTCAACGGTGGTTGACCGGCCGGAAAAAAATTTCAGGAAAAAAAAAGTTCTCAAAAAAAAAAAAAAGTCAACGCCGAAATCTGGCCGGGAAAAAAAATATTTCAGAAAAAAAATTATTTTCTGAAAAAAAAACTATTGGGGGTTAATGTGATATATTTGTTTAAATCCGGGGTCAATGTGTAATATTAAGGAAGTTAGAGCATAATAGATGGAATTGATAAGAATTATATTATGGATGGTATTTTAGACTAAAGACATGGGGATGAGTTTTAATTGAGAGACTGTTTTTTTTGTGGACGAAAATGCATTGAAGTCCCATGTGATGGGACTTTTTGCCATTCGCCCATAAAAAAATGGGAATGCATATATCCGCCGCCTATAGATAATTATCCATAGAATTATCTTCAGAAAATCGCTGAAAAAGATGAGAGGGTGTGAAATACCGCTGATTCGTAGAGCAATTGCTGCTACATATTCTTCATCATTTCGGTATTTTTGCTGATCCCTTTTCTTTATTTTGTTCCAATTTTCATAGTGTGGGTCATAAATTAGAGTTGTATACATGAATTAGATGATGCTATGCTCTTGTTTCGTCAAATTGTAAGAATGCAGACACAACCTTCCTTTATTGAATTCCAGATGGAACAATACTCCGTTGCCCTTAAACTGTTCGACGAAATATGTCAGTGGGCTGCCCCTATGAATGAGTGCACTCTGACCGTGTTGATTAATTGTTGTTGCCTTTTGACATGTGTAGAGATTTGTTTTGCTATCTTTGGCAGCTTCCTTAAACAGGGTTACGTGGCAAATGTCGTGACCAAGGCCGATATTTTTGGGCCCTAGGCATGATTTGAAGACGGTTGAAAAATAGGGCCCTTTTAAAATCTACATTAAAACTCATCATGTTTAAATAAATAAATGAAAAGCTCTATGTTAACTCGTTTTTGTAAGGTATATAGCCAGATGCAAGGCTATAAATTTGTGATATAGTGATGTTATAGTATCCGGGGGTTCGGGGGTAGCGGCCCCGATTTTTTCAGGGGCTATATATAGGTCCCTGGTGAGAAAACATATTAGAACTAAATGACAAGTCTAACTAAACATTAGCTTTACATCCTTTATAAATTTCATTTCAATAATGCCCCCACATACAAAAAATGAAATACGCACCAAGTAATATTTAAACTGTATTTATCATTTTTTCATTTTGCATTTAACATTTTTATTTTCGCATCTAGCATTTTTGTTATTTTTTTCGTAGAACAATTTTCTTTTTTTTTACATTTTCGTATTTTTTCCTTTTTTTCTACA